TATTAAACTGATATCAATTTTGTACTATACTGATTTTATATAAGTCAGATATCAAGTGAAATAAGGAAAAAAACACATACACTAGCATGATATCTGAACACATACTAACATACTAGAAATTTCGGTTGTGTGAAGCAAATCAACAGCACTACAGCAAAACAAATAAATAATCAAAAACCATACCAGAACACACTGTATACCCAATGCAAACATTCCGAAATGACTTAATCTTTTGCATTCAAAAGTACAAACATCAATCACTGGGTACTGGCACCCAGTTCAATTAAAACTAAGTACATGCATGTACTCATATCATTCACAAAAATCGATTTGAACAACCCAAATATCAGGTTCATTACATTGAGATCAAACAAAATGCAGCCTTCCAAGATCAAAGTGGGCATCATTTGGCATTCCCTAGCTTGCACTGTTCATTGAATCACCCAGGTCCAGATTCTGCAGGTTAACATGATGGAGAGATCGAATGATCATGGTATAATGACAGGAAGAAAATATACAATAATTTTTTTAAAAAGGTAATAACCTGCAATATCTCTCAGAAAAAGAAATGGTGCATTTATGTTTTATGGGCAACAACTGAATCAAGACATGAGCATATGCAGACAGACAGAGGAATCAAGGCAGTAGGTGTTCTAAGCATTTGAGTATTTGACATATAAAACATGCTTGAAAAACAGAAGTAATATGCAGTCACCCAATAGTATTCACAATCAGAGATTAAGGAATACAAGAATCATCTAACAGGTGCTACACAAATTTGCAGATTTTACTAATTTTCTTCATTTATCTAGCAGTAGTGTAGTACAGTCTATTTTTAGGCTATTGTTTTATTTCAGAAAGCAGAGCATTGCAATACCAGAAATGAGGCTTATTCCTTTTGTACATCTAGAGCTTCTCATATGTTGTAAAAGAGTTGAACTAGCTCAGATTATAAATAGTATAATACAAGTTCATGATAGATTACTAACCATCAATATCCAGACCCTTTGTTTGGGCATTCACAAGCTTCCACCATCCTGTCCATCCATGGAATCCTCCAGGTCCAGGTTCTATAGATAAAGATGAATACATGATAGAGACATTGAAACTTCATATTCCAATTTTACAGAAAGCTAGCAAGTAGGACAGCAAACCCATATAGGCATTGCTCAATACTGGATAAATAGAAAGAGAAAAGCTGGAAGAGATCTTGCAAGCAATCAAGCAAATACTGAATAAATAGACATTTTTCTCTTTCAGAAAATTAAATAGACAGATGATAAGAAGAGCACAAGCAATTTACTAACCACAAAATTATCACTGTAGTTGATTTCATTTACTGAGCTCACATTTATGTTAGGACCTAGCAATCAAAACATAAAAATAAATTAGTTTTAGCAAGATAAATACTAGAAGTAAATGAACGAGGGTAGTCGTGTATACCGGCAGAAGCTCGAAACCAATCTTGGAGGCAGATAAGCGCCTCAACTGAATCCATTGTAAGGCTACATCTGAAATCGCTGATCACTCTAGATCTTGTGCTGAATGCGGACTCAGATGCAACTGTTGAAGCAGGCCATGCTACCACATCCTGTGCTATGCAAGCGAGAGTTGGATACTTTGAGCGATTGGTCTTCCACCAATTTAGAATGTCAAATTTGTTCCCAAATTCCTGAATAGGATTCTCTTTGAGGTAGATATCCAATTCAGTATCAACTTGCTCACTTAATTGTTCAGAGATGTGTTGAACCCAATCAGCCATAGGATCATTTTCAGAGATAGACATCACATGTTCAGCTTGGCGCAGTGGGTTAGCATTGCTATCCTTGAGTTTATCAGAGTACTCCTTAAACAACATGTTCATTCTCTTCTTAACTTTGTCAATCCTCTCTTTAGCATTTTCACCAAAGGCTTGCCCAAGCCGAAATTCCACAAACTTGAATTTGAATCTTGGGTCAAAAATGACAGGAATACACAGATATTTGTAAGACTTAAGCCAATACTTGTCAAATTTGTCCTTCATCTTTTTAACCATACTTGCCACTTCAGTGTCATTGTTAGAGCGTTCCTTGTCCAAGACCAATTTGATTTTCCACATCTCATGGAAATAAAGGTTTGATGTTGGATATAAAGATCCAGACACCACCATAGTTGCATCATAAAGCACCTTCAAAATTCCAGAGACTATGGTTGCTCTTTCCCACTGATCAGGAGATGGTGCATATTTGTAATTTTTTTCTTGAACAACCAATGAAGCATAAGCCCTCATGAAAGGGAAGGCTGCATTGAGCATTAGATATGTGGAGTTCCAATGAGTACATACATCCACAGTGGGATGCAACTCACATGTGATCCCTTCTTGGGCAATGATCTCCTCAAACTTTTCTTTGCGAGATGGGGAATTATCCATGTACTTCACACTTTCACGGATGTTGCAAACAATAGAATCAATAACCTTCAACCCATCTTTGGCTATGAGATTGATGACATGTGCTACACATCGGTTGTGAAGTAGCTTCCCTCCTGCTGGTATAGTTTTCTTAGCTTTCAAATTGCACTTTAACAACTTAGCCATTGAATCATTGGCTGAAGCATTATCCAAAGTAACACTGAATATCTTGTCTGCGATATTCCAATCTTGAATGCAGCTGAGCATAGCATTGAACATCTGCACTCCAGTATGAGGTGTCTTTACTCCAAAGAACTTTATAATCCTCTTCTGTACTCTCCAATCTGTGTCAATGAAATGACATGTCACACACATGTATCCCATTGTTTGGTTCGAAGTCCACATATCTGCAGTCAATGAGAACCTACAATTTGCACCCTTGAACATGTCCTTCATTGCTAACTTTTGCTCTTTAAAAGCAGCGATGCAATCATTCCTTATAGTTGTTCTCGAAATAATCTTGAAGTAGGGGTTAAGACTAGCAGCAAAACTTCTAAATCCATCATACTCCACAAACTGGAAGGGCAACTCATGTAATACAATCATTCGCATGAGCTCTTTTCTAGAAACTTCAGGATCAAAGCTCCAATTCTTTAACCTTACACTATTAGGAGACATAAGTGTAAAGTCAAGATTCCCCACAATCTTAAGAGCACTAATTCGCTTCTTGCATCTTGTCAAATGCTTCCTCAATGAACTTGTTCCCGCTCCACGCTTTGCACGGATCTCTGTATCACAGTGCTTACATTTTCCTGCACCAACTTCATTATCAATGAGTATCGGCACAAACTCTTTCCAAGCCTCATATCTGAATTTCCTTGTTAAAGCTTGTATTACTGGATTCACATGCTCATCTACAGGACCAACTTGTTCAGAGTCACTATCATCATCACCCATCTCAATATCTTCACCACTGTTAGTGCCAAGTCCAAAAAATGCGTTGGGTGTCCGCATTTCCTCACTTGAAACAAAGCAACGAACAACACAAATGTATCATTTGCCATCTAAAATAATTTTCTATCACATAATGTATGGAAAGGAAATTTTGGTGTAAAAATCTACACAACAGCATGTTGTCAGCAGCATGCAAAAATGCTACTTATTCAGTGTTTCGTTCAGTATATCCTGAATATTGAGAAAATCCAGGTTATACAAAGACAAAGTAAAAGACCATCTATTTTACGCAAGGCAGTAGGAAACTTTAAATTAGCAGTAACTGAAACTTTCTCCTGAATGGCATGAAAACAAAATTAAACTTTCTCCTGGCATACAAATCTGGGCCTAGCAAAATGGCATGAAAGCCTAGCTATAACAGTCACTGAAACTTTTTCCTGAATGAGACACTATATATACAAATCAAACCAAAACCGAGCAAGACAGATGAACAAGACAGGGTTCATGGAGGAAATCATACCTGTGCTCACGAGGGAGAGAAACCCAGCTGGACGAAGGTGGCGATGTGGCCGGGTGTCCTCCGAAACCCTCGCCGTTGCTGCCGATGGAGTGTCCTCCGAAGCACCTCGCCGGTTGGCCACCAAGTAGGTAGCCGCCGCCCGCCGGTGCCTCCATCCGCCGCCGAAAGACGGAACTGCATAGAAGAGGAACCAAAGAATAAGTCAAATGAGCCATGTAAGCGCCACATCAGCAAAAACTGGGGACAATACTATATAGGGTCCTCATTTATCCTCGTTTATATTGGTTGTGTAGGTTGGGGATGGGTTATATCTGTTTGTTCTGACAAAAATCTGGGCGACAAAATGAGGGACTTCAAGTGAACTTATACCTAAAGGAGATGGGCCGGCTTGTGCGTATCAGCACTGCTCGTAATAGGTGGGCCGGAGAGACCCAAACAGGCCCAGCCTCATGATATGTACAGTATTTTTTCGGCTTTACTCAGTTTACACGCTCAACAGAAGGAAATTGCCGTGCACATTTCTTCAGAACTCAGGTGACACACTTCAACCGTTTTATAATTTTTATAATGTAAGACTTTTTAACATTCCCCACATTCATATAGATATTAATGAATCACGTATATTAATGCTAGAAAGTCTTACAATATGAAATGGATTACTCCCTCCGTCCCAATATGCTACTCCCTCCGTTTCAAAATATTTGACACCGTTGACTTTTTAGCACATGTTTGACCGTTCGTCTTACTCAAAAAAATTGTGAAATATGTAAAACTATATGTGTACATGAAAGTATATTTAACAATGAATCAAATGATATGAAAAGAATAAATAATTACTTAAATTTTTTGAATAAGACGAATGGTCAAACACATATTAAAAAGTCAATGGTGTCAAACATTTTGAAACGGAGGGAGTACTACTTACAATGTCTAGATTCATAGTTATGGGTCTAATCCCATTCTAGGTTGCTACGTATTGAGACGGAGGGAGTAGCAGTTAGCACATGCAGCTGTGTTTTCAACGCATACTTTTAGATGGAAGTTTTCTGATTTTCATTTGAAACGTTCTGCAATTCAAAATGGAAGTTTTGAAGCCACGGTTGAAAGTTCCTCGTATAATTTAATTTGAAAGTAGTACGATTTGAGCTGAAAAATTCATATCAAAGTGCTAATAAAATATGAAAAACAAAATATGCTATGCTAATTAGCAATCCCCCTTCTGCACCAATGCGTTGATACCAAAAAATCACAGGTGATTTTCGCCGAATTCAGTGTCAGTTTGTCACCAATTTCCTTTCAGAGTTTCAGGTTACAGCGGTTGGCGCGCGCCCTACTCGAACGCATCGCCGGCGACGCAAGCAGCAGCCATGGCGAACACGTCGTCCTCCCCGCCGGCGCTCCACTCGCACCCGGCGTTGATGCTCTCCCTTCGCGCCGCCGCCGACGACGCAGGGCGAACGCTAAGGCCGGCGGCCGGCACCGCCGTCGTCTCCGACACGCGCACGCTCATTCTCACCGACATCGTCATCACCGCGGGCGCCGTGGCGCCCGCGGCGAGCTCGACCCGCCGCTCCACCACCACCGCTGCGTCGTCGTCGTCGTCGTCGTCGGCGGCGGCGGCGACCACGTCCCTCCACGCCACCTCGGCGCGGCCCACCAGCTCGGACGCCATGGCGGGCCCCAGGACCATATCCCTGATCCGCCGCCGCCGCCTCCTCCTCCTCACCTCGAACACCACGCTCCTCCGGTCCACGAGCTCCCGCACGCACGCCGGCGAGCCGTCGCACCTCAGCGACGCCACGTCGCGCCACGACGCGTCGATCGACCGGGCACCACCACCACCGTCGACGTCGGCGCCGCGGCTGTCGATCTGGATCGTCCTCCCGCCGCCGGCGGGGACGTGGCACCGGAGGAAGATCAGCGCGCCGCCTCCGGGGCAGCTGAGACCAGTGACCTCGACAGAGCTGATCTCGCAATGGAGATGGCAAACGGTGGCCGCAGTGGCATCGGCACAGTAGCTGCCATGATCCATAGTACTAGTTTATAGTAGTAGCCAGTTGCATGGAAGAATGGCTAGGTATTTATACATGCAATTGCAAAGACGATGCAGCTGAATCAGGATCCTCTGTAGTTAGGGATGCAAGCGGCCAACCCGCGAGTTCACTTATAGGTCAAATAAATGATAATTCATGAGTTTTCGTATTGTGGTCCAGTTCGCCGCATCTAGATATGCAAGTGGATCAATCTATAAACACATTTATAGGTCTAACTTAATAGGTAACCCACGGGTTACGTACTAATTTTCCCTATAAACGGGTTAGCGGACAAGCCCACTTGCACCTATCTGTAGTCGAAGTCACGTGACTTTATTACTGACATATGGATCTGACGATTCCTAGATACACATGTCAATGACAAAGGTACCGTGCATTTGACTGCAGAGGATCTCAATCCAATGTAGCACTGGAATTGGAGAAGGTACATGCTAGATAGATAGCTAAGCTAGTGTAACTTTGGCAAGTGCATTGCCCAACAAGAATTGGTCGCCCTAGCTAATGGGGAAGCAACTTTAGCTCTTGGAGAATGCAAGGAGGTATACGGCCTTTTGCATGCTTCTTAATTTTTGCTAGGGTTCCAAAAGTTCAATTTGGCCTATCAGCTGACCAAAGGTGGTCAACTCAAAAGCCATAAGTGTCAGCCCAAATTTTGTTGGTGAGTCACCCTTGCACTTGGTTAAATCTTGCACCCACTTCATCAGTTTATCATTTGCGCTTTTGATCTCGACCATGCATGGATTGGCTAATAAGCACTTAGTTAGACATGACACTAAGCAGAGCAATGGCCTAGAGTTGTTGGGCTCTGAGTTTTCAGATTGGGCCTTAATTGGGGCAGGCCTAGGGGTGTTCGGCCTCATTTGGGTTTCTGATTGGGCCGTGTGCAAATGATTCAGAAGCTGGCCCTAAGATCTTTGTGATTGACCTATACATGGCCTAGTTCAGTTATGTACGACAATATGGAAATACAGCAACTGTGCACGATCATTTGTACGTGATTAGCAATTAATTTCACGTGCGTATACCTCTACAATTCAACTGTGCTCACACAAGGACGGAAGAGTACATATTTATAGAACAATTATAACAGCCGTGTAGTCTATACTATTATAGTGCAGCTACTATTGCAAGTGCACATATATAGAGGACGACTTTAAGGATCTGAAAACCAGGATTGAAAAAAAAACCCTGGCGAAATAAGAAAACACAAGATTTTTCCATAAATGCAAATACAAAACAAAAAATTACAAAACATAGAAAAAAACATGATATTAATCGTTTGAATAGACCGCAAAAAAAAAACACAGTAATCATATGAGAAATACACTTGAAAGAAAATTTTTCGTAGTGGTTAGAGGTCTTGCTAATTTTCCTCCAAATTATTCATATGAATATCCATTTAGAATTTTAAAGGAAATGATAGAATTTAATTGTTTGTTTCAAAGACGTTCTTAGGATTTTTTTTTTTTATAGAATTGAAACACGTTTCTTCTGTTTTTCTACAAATCAAATGGGGCCCAAATCCTTATTTAAGGCCGTCCCTTTGCATGGTACCACATCTAAAATGCCATGTACTTAGATAAATATAAAAAGTTGCATGGCCCCTGTTGACTGAAAGAAGTTAGTACAATGGAGAATAATCTATTGCCTCTAATTGAAGTATTGATCACACTAATTAATCCGAAAAATAGCATTGTAAAACAAACATATGTTACATGCATATCCTCCACTGTAATCAAGTACATAAAAGAAACCCGAATCAAGACCAAATTAGGGAGCTAGTTCATATCCTCTTACAAGTTACAAGTTGCAAGTATGATGAAGCAAATGCCTTGATCCTAATAGCTTTCATACTAAAAAGACAATTAGGATATGTGTGTGTTAATTAACTGGGCACAAGTCTATAACAATATTTACATCACAAAATATGACAATAACCAAATAAATTCATGTTTAAAATTCTCAAGATTCAAGAACCTTGTCATCTTCAGTATACGTAGCGCTTGGTATAGCCGGAAGTGCGCTAGTAGCGGCTTTCTCCGGCGAACTGCGAAGCCGACGAGAAGAGCCCGTGGCCGGCGGCGGCTCCGGCGCTCTCGCCGTCTGCTGCGTCAAAGTCGTCGTCGAACGGGACAGCTCCGGCGAGCATGTTTCCATAGCCACCGTACAGATCGGAACCAGAGCTTGGCGGTGCAGCGGCGGCGGCGGCGGCGGCGGTGGCGATGGCTCTGGACTTGGCGAGCATGGCGAGCGCGTCGAGCACAAGGGAGGTGGTGGTGTTGGTGGCCGGGGACGACGACGCGCGCATCATCGCCTGGAACGCCGGCGCGGCGGCGGAGCCGGAGCCGGAGCCGGAGGGGAAGAGCACGCCCTCGCCGGAGAGGAGATGGGACGACGGCGGCATGGCGCCGCCGCACGGTAAGGGCGGCGTGGCGGGGAAGCCGGTGAACTCCTGCACCATGGCGCGGAAGTTGGAGGCGTCGGTGGTGAGCACCGTGGTCGGCGGCCGCCGCGACGCCGCCCTCGGCCGCTTCCGCGTTGGCTTGCGCTGATCGGCGGCCTGGTGCAGCGCTACGGCCGGCGCCAGGTGGTACTGTTCTTGCGCGCCGGCGGCGGCGGCGGGGATGACGCCGGGGAGGTCGAGGAGGAAGGTTGGGGAGGAGGAAGGTGAACGGAGGAAGCTCGGGTGGTCGTCGAGGAAGGCCGTGGGTGACGTCGCAGGTGACGACGGGAGGCTGTGGCTGTCGCCGGCGGTGGTGGTGGCGGTGGCGGTGGAGGCCATGGGAGGGACGAGGGAGGTGTGGATGGATGGGCTATGCTGCCTATGCTGATATAGAGTTTGGTGGGGGAGAGAGGCTGGGGGTTTGTAGTGAAATTTTTATAGTTCTTGGGAAAATATTCGTTGGTATAAAATTTTGATACCTAAAGAGATATAAAGGTATCAAGTTTTATAGTTAAATTATTTATTGTTTTTCTTATATTATTGTTGAAATCGAGATTTTTCTTAACTCGGTTAAATTTAATTAAAATGGTTTATAATATAAAATACAAAACGGGAGTGTTTTGGTTAGAGCCGCAAACTAATATACTATAAGCATTTTTAGATTGTTGTTTAGTTAGATTAGGATTGAAGAATATGAGGAATGGAGGATGACTGGATTTGGGAGTAATATGGGAGGAAATTTAAGTTAAAAATGATTAATATGATAAGTAATACTCTAAAATTCTATATTTTGAATGTTTAATGTTTATATGTGTGCACAAAAGGAGTATCTAATTTTGTTTTACTTGCAGCAGCAATTTTCATAATTTTGTTTTACAAAAGACACAACCTTAAGTTGAAGCAGTAATGCTTTGCTGGTGTGTGTGTGGGGTTGCATATGTAGGACATGGTGTTAAAACTCAAATTTAGCATATAGACGCGAAATGGGAAAGTATGGCCGAATTTGGATAGGACCGTGTTATGCGGGGCAGATATGACCTGCGCTTACGGGCTCTTCTGATCGGTGGTGACCAAGTCCAGGTCTGGGTCGAATTTCACCGAATCTCATGTTTCCTTGCTTGGGATATATTTTTCGAGTTCTAATTGATCAATACCATGAGATAGATGTGGATGAGGTCCTGTAGGAGGCGAGACCAACCCCTTTATAAGGGCAAAGGCTGGTTCAATTGAGCAGACAATTTACATCCAACGCAAATAGCCAATTGAATCTTTTTTTAATATTGCATCTACCTTTTGTCTTGGTCTAGCCTAATTTTCATTCATCTTTGTCAGTTTGCGCTGAAACCCATCCGTCCTTGTCACGAGAGAGCGAATCACCTTTGCAGGTTTGTCACAAAAACCTTCCGTTCCACCTATGAGACAGTTGCTTACCTATTTCATATAAATTGCCTCCGTTAGCCGGTTTGATTTTCAAAACCCATCTTGGCTTGAATTTGTTTAGATCGAAGTGGTTGGCAACTCCGTATCACCACAAAACATTAGGTGTTCCGATTGTGTTTGATGGTGTGATAAAAAGAAGTTGTCAACACGTGGTTTTTTTCCTCTCCACACTTTGATGCTATGGCATGTACTCCCTCCATTTTAAGTTATAAGACGTTTTGACTTTGGTCAAAGTCAAACTATTTTAAGTTTGACCAAGTTTATAGAAAAAAATACTAATATTTTCAACCAAAGATAAATTTATTATAAAAATATATTCAATTATTGATTTGATGACACTAATTTAGTATTATAAATATTACTATATTTGTCTTTAAATTTGGTCAAACTTAAAATAGTTTGACTTTAACTAAAGTTAAAACATCTTATAAATAGCACAAGTGGAGTATTTAAAATCCCATAGGGGTCCCTATTTACTGGTATGAATAGCACAAGTGGAGCATCCGGAACACCCTAACCGTGCCACATTTTTATTGCATCCGAGCACTTTAAATATCTTGAACGGCAGGAGAGTACTACCGTATATTGTTAGTACTCTAGTGATTTTAATTAGTCCTGCTCACGTACGATACATGCAGAGGAATTACGAGGTGCTCGCAACAAATCTAATTAACCTTTTCTCTCAATCCTGCTTCGTTAAGCAATCTAATGCCATATCTACTTGGAGAGTAAATAGTGCTTCAGTACAGTGTTAAAATAAATCAACAGCGAGTAACATTGAGGCTACGTGTCTCCATCATGACAAAGATTATTATTCCTTCAACAAACAAATGACGAATCAGAGTAGATTGCTTCACTACGCTGCTCAGTTTCTACCCTGACAAGAATCTGTCCTTTTCCTAGTGAAAGGAGAAATTAAAAAAAAAAACAAGAGAGAAACCAAAAGTTTTCCTTGAGGAACCCAAAAGGTTTAAATGAGTTAAACATGAACATCAGGAACATATTTGGTGTGCCCATATCTTTGATCTATGCCCATAATCTAGCACCCTGATATTGTTTTGATAATCACAGTATGATTTATTAATTCATTATTCTCCACTCTTGCCATAACACATGATTAGTTAATTTCTAGTTGGCCCAATACATCCATCTATTTTTGTAGCATACTACTCTGTTAATATTTTATTAGTAGATGTTTCTGTGCTTAGCTGACCAAATTAAAGTGTGTTAGAATGCCAGTTGCCCTC